GTCTGGCGGTTGCGGGCAATATTGGTGGGCAGGTCTAAGTTCATCTCCTGTTGCATACTAATGAAGTCGTCCAGAATGGAGGACAGGTAGGGGTCGGACGCCGACTCCTCGAACGACAGCTGCGGAGGCGCCGCACCCGTCTGTACCATCGCCTGTGTCTGCATGGGCTGACTGTTTTGCTGCTGCTGTTGGGGCACCGGCTGCTGGTAAAAGGGCTGCACCTGGAGTGGTGTGTGCGGCGCCGTCACCGCCTGCGTCTGCGGGTGTTGTGGCGGCTGCTGTTGTTGCTGTACTACCGGTGCCTGTTGTTGTTGCACCTGCATTAGGGTGCGGATCGGGTGCTGGTTTTGGCCGCTGTTGGATAGGATTGTGTTCAAGAAGTTGGAACTGTTCTGTTGCTGCTGCTGATGGACCAGTTGGTGGCCGACCGGGGGCTGAGATTGCGGTCCGATTTGTTGTAAATGTTGTAAATCTTGTAAACGAATGGTTTGTTGTACTTGTGGTTGGATTTGTAAACGTTGAGCACTGGGTTGGAACGAATGCATCTGTGGTACGGGTATAAGACATGTTAAGACATGGCATTCAATCGACAATCAACGGGTTGTCCGTCAGGGAATAGCTCTCACCTGTTGTTGAGGTCTGAGTTGCGAGACATTCGTCACAATGGGAACCATCATTGGCTGCGAGGTCTGCGGCGACTGCGGCACAGACGTGAAGATCACTTGTCCGCCCGATTGTGACACTTGACCAGATTGTGGGAGGACTTGTTGGAGGGCCGGGTGTGGCTGCAGGGGTGTGGGGATCAGCTTCTTCTCCAGATTGCGGGGCAACTTGTCCTGCGGGGTCTGCGAGATCATTGACGTGGGAATTGTGATCTCCTCGGGCACGGAGGTGGGCGTGCGGGCCAACATCGACGCCAGCATCGGGTTCTGACCGGCCAGGAGGGCCGGCTGGTGACTATGGCCCACGTGCTGGGCGCCAACACCGGCCTGGGCGCCCATGGGCACGGCACCCGCCACCGAGGCCGGCCGTTTCATGTCGGGCGTGTGCGGCTCGTAGTGAGTGGACGTCTCGTCTATGGATTTACGTTTGTTGGCCAGGGATGTGGCCATCATTTCGTTGAGACTCGTGGGAAGGGATGAGGACGACGCCGAACAGGCTGTCCATTGCGTGAGGCATACCATAAGTAGTGGGAAGAGGGAGTAAGAGAGAGAAATGATTATAATTATTATTTATATAATAATCGCTGAATAATTAATCGCATGGAAACCAATTAACTGCAAAAATCATTAACAGTTACAGACTATTGAGGACACAAACAACCAGTGCTAAAGAAAAACTAATCATAAAAATAATGTTTTGCCAATTCATAGCGCCTGACGGCAGTTCCGTAAGGGACAGGCAGATAGGATAAGAGTGTTTCAAATTGTGTGGACACAAACACAGTCTCTCTCTCTCTCTCTCTCAGCCATTTAGTGAGGAACTGGTTTTTAAGGCAACTATTTTCCGACCAATTCGTGAATGAAATGCAATGACGAGAGACACCACTACTTGACGTGAAAAGTTGTATTTTGTACGAAACAAAACACAATACAAAAAACTATTTTTCATATTTTTCTATTACATATACGAATGCAAAAGAATTTTCATATTTTCATGCACTCAGGGGAGGAAAGGGTTGACACTAAACAACAATATGTAAAATAATAATCAAAAACTATTGAAAATAAAGTCATTAATAGTGGTAATGGTAGTGAATTGGTAGGGGAATGGGATTCTCGACGAAGTAATCCGTAATAACAATAATTAGTAAAACACGAAATAATCACTCTATCGATAAACGGATCAATTGTTTTGGCATAAGAAAGAAAACAAAAATTTACTTAAATTAACGATAATTTAAATAAAAATCTCATTTAAAACCAATTATTATTAAGTAACAACTAGCAACTAGTATTAATACAAAATTCAAACAACTTGCAAATATTCGTTAATCCCTTTCCCATGCACTGGCTTTTGAATGAAACATCATTTGAATTCATATTACAGTATATTTGTGGAAAATATTGAAAATCTATTCATCTATTGGCATATTATTTGCAGATATGATAGGGAGAGGACAACGAATGCCACAGAAAAAGGGCAGTTCGCTAGAGGAATGGCATTCAAAAGCAAACACAACACACTCTTATCAAACACACACAACCCTTTCCCTTAAGAGGTGCAGAGACTTATAAAACTCAATTCAAACACCAATTCCCAACTTAACACCAAAAACACTCAAACAAATAGAGAGAGAAAACTCGAAAAACTCAACACAAGAGTCAACAACAAAAACACTACTAAACAGTGTCCTCAACATCAGAAAGAGTGGTAGAAAAGCGGTGATAATTACGTTGCGAGTCGATGGGCTCCTTCTTGAGGTGTGCGATCAGACCGGAGAGCGAGTCCCTGTTGTGGTCGCCGTTATCTTTGAGCAAATACTGTTCCACTAACTCGTGATTCTTGCGGATGTCGGGCCTCTTGGAGCCGATCTCGTCGTCGTTCAACAACATCCGCAACATATTGTTATTATTGGCCACCTTTTTATCACTGCCAACACTTCCGGGACACGAGCTCTCGCTGTAGGGAGTGCTGGGCGGCGGCACCGATGGCGGCGCTTGCGGTGTGTCCGCCGAGGGGCCCACCGACGAGGGCATGGGGTCGGGACCGTCGTCCTCCTCCAACAGCTCCCTTAAGATGTCGTTTTGAAGGCCCGGCTCCTTCTTAATGATGGGTGAACTGTCCGCCTCGTCCGACATGAACGAGCCCTGAGTTAACAGATTCCTGAGCTTCTGAGTGGCCGACGACTGGCCGCCGCCTCCCGTCGCTGAGCCCACACTCGACGGCGAAAAGTCCGTATCGAACGCACAGGTATTCTGGGCGTAGTTGTGCTGCGCCGGCACCGACTGCGGCGACGGATTGGATGGACTCCTGACCAGATTAGCCACGGATGGCGACTGCGAGGCACAGAGGGGTGACGTCTGATGGGCGCCGCCGGCGGGCGGCGTCGACAGCGTCGCGTAGGCGTTGCTGTTGACTGTAGTACTGTTGTGGAGAGTGGTGGCGGCGGTGGTGGTGCCGGTGCCCTGCGTCTGGTGCTGCGACTCCTGACTGTTAGTGTCGTAGTTATCCCACGAAGAGCTCGACGGAAACATTTCGCCGATTCCTCCCAAACAGTCGTTGAGGGAGAAGTCCGACACAGCGCTGGGCGATAGGGACAGCCCCGGGAATGG